ATTTGATAGAGAAAACCCCACTCTACTTCTCTTATAAAAATTTCGTCCGTACGATGTATAACAGAGAAGGACGAAAACAAACAAGATGAATTTTTGAAAATTTGATCCGAATTACCCCACTTGACTGTATATATCCATTGATTAAGAAAAGAAGATTCTTTTATCACTCCTAATGTATCTTCAGATCGAAATGCAATGATTTCGTTTGGATCAAGTGCTTTTATATTACTCAAATCAATTGGTAAATAAATATTTTCATAACCATAAAGACGATAATTAATAAGCATCTGAACACAAGATTCTTCATAAAAACATTCTAATGTGGAAGATGTTATATCTAAAGATTGACAACCAATAAATAAATTAGGAATAATTATTTGTGTACATGATGATGGATAACAATAAAAACCCAATGGTTTTAAACAACTAACAAATTGTTGACAATAACATGATGTATTGAATATATCATCCGTATTACCTTCAGCATATTCGAGAATCCATTTATTATTTATCTGTTTAGTAATCAATGGATTCATAAAATCAAATGAAATTGCTCCACTCTTTTTAATACTTTCTTCAACTGGTTGTAATTTGTCAGTGTAAATATTGGTTATCTAGAAAGTAAAAATTTAATCAAATATTTTGATTTTACAGATTTATCTACTTAGAGTTTTTTTTTCTTTCTTCTGTAAAAATAAATGCGGAAATCTCGGATTTATATCCGAGATTATGTGTACTTCAAAAAGTCAATGAGACAAATCGCTCATCTTAGAATCTATGAATATAAAAATTTACCTGGAAAAAAACCTTTTCCATAAACCCTTCAATTCCATTGGTTACTGCTCAACGAATAGAACTGGGGAGCGTAGAAATCTCAGATTTTAACTGTTCAGCTTAATTTAGCCTCAGAAAATCGATTTTCTTATAACTTGATTTCTATTGATCGATAATCAACCAATGGGGTTTTCGAGGCAAGTGAAGTACAGATTCGAGTTCTCCATACTAGAAAACCTTCGATTATCATCTCAATCACAGGGAGATAGACTTACAATTGAGGATCGATTGGAGCGTACACAAAACCGAACCGATTCCCGCTTATTTGTCTTATAAATAGGTGAGTTAGTCTTCTTATTTCTCAATATTTTATACATCTTTTTGTAGCTCTTAAAATTCTCTATCGAATGGTATATCATTGTTGGGCTTTTAATTGACTATGATAGGAAAAGTCTTTTAAGAAAGTGGCTAGGGGTCGTTTTTCCGCGCACTAACTTAGGAACGGCTCGGCCAACCCTTCTCACCTTTGAACTTGACCGAGATATTTTAAAGACTGAACTGTATAGAAAATTTCATCGTGATCCGACTCTCCTTTCGAAAGTTATCATGTAAACAGCCGACTGGATGGACGGACACACTGAATATTCTATAGTTTACTCACTTTTGAATACACAAAAACTATCATTCGGTTTAAAACTAATATCAGATTTAGAATCAGCGTTAAAAACTGAGTCGATTTATGTATTTTATGAATAATTATGAATAAAAAATTTTTTTCCAAAAAATCCCCGTACCCCCTCCCTCCGCTCAAGGATGGTCTGATCAAAAGTCACCATTTTTTTGATAACTCAGCCATTTCTTGACGGATCCTTCTCATCTTCGAACTCGACCGAGATATTCTAAAGACTGAATTGTGTAGAAAATTTCATCGTGATCGGACTCTCCTTTCGAAAGTTATCGGATAAACGGACGGACGGTTGGACACACTGACCGATTTTCGTAGTGTACTCACTTTTTGAGTACACAAAAACAATATAAATAGATATTCTTTGGAATGTCGCAAAGTACGACGAAAAATTCTGATTTCGATGCTCAAAAGTGTGAGAAAATCTGTTTTAAAGGGAAGATTTTTCATGGTATTTTACCTGACTTTGAAGAAATATTTTCCAATTATCAATTGTTTTATTGAATTCTAATTGAATAATTGGTTGAGATGAGAAAAAATATTCTTGTTGAGATGAATTCATCATATTGTATAAAGTTACATTGAAAAAATCACATAATATTTTAACATAATTAAAAAATTTCCATCCATTTTTGCGAAAATCAATCCAATAAAATGGTGGATTAAGATCAATTGTACCATTAAGAAATGTCATTGTCCAATATTGAAACCAACGATCATCACGAATAAAATTACTTGAACAAAATGGATGAAGTTTTACTTGAATAGATATAAATTTTGAACGTTGTATCAATGAATTTTGACATGGACACGATAAAGACAATGCATTTATATTATAAAGATGTTCAAATTCATTTAAACTTGGATTTTGAACGATTATTTGTTGTGAAATAATTATTCTAGTAGAATAAATAGTCAAAATGAAAATACCAAACATTAACAATATAATATAAATACGAGTAGCATAAATTCCATGTTGAACTTCGGTGAAAGTTGTCTTGAATAAATTTAATGTCAGTATTTTATCACGAATTAGCTTAAGAATATTCAATATACGAGTTTGGAAGCCTATAAAAACAATAATTTTAAGAAGAAAACATATACAGAGTGTCTGAAAATTCACTGGCCAAAAAAAAATTCGAATATCTTCCTTACGGCTCGAGGAAATAAGCTGATTTTTTTAATAAATAATCTAGGAATGTTGAAAGTTTATATCCATAAAGACATTAATAGGGAAATGCTTTGTTGAGTATATTGTTTTTCTTTTCTATCTGTGTATTGAAGCCAATAGAAATACTTAACAAATGGTTTCTCTAAATATGTATTTATGGATATAAATTTTCAACATTCATTTTGAACCCTAGTCGAACATCTTGCAAGCAAGATCTTCAAATCTTGGGATTGATAAGCAAGATCATGAAAAAATAATTTGTATGTGAACAGCTTGTGCGCATCTGATACATCTGTATCTAAGATCTTGTCAAGATCAGGGAAATGATATCTTTTACTATTATCTTGTCACAAGATCTTGAGTAAAAGAACGATATCGTTAGTATTTATGTACCGACTAGTCATTCACCGTTTTTTTATGCATGCAGAGCCGTATATAAGCAACGTTATTGAACATAGAAAACATACATTTTTCAAAATAATTTTTCTTCTAAACTCTTTCTCGACTATTAATCACTCGAGAAAATGCCGATCTCGATTCCTGATCGAGAGAGGACCACCTGAAGCCGTCTGATGGTGACTGAACCACCTCAGGAACAAGTAGGTTCCAAGATCGGGCTTGCTTCAATTATTCGGAATAGGAATAACTAAAATTAAGATAAATTGAAAAAATTTCATAACATGCTTTTATTGAAAAAAATAATAATAAATATGTTATATAATAGATTTGAATCACGCTTCCAGATTGTATCATGGATTTCGTCGCAAATCACGAGACCTGCAACATTTTTTATCTTAATGTATACCTAAGATCTTATAGACCTATACTTCAGATCTTATAAATCTGTACCCAAGATCTTACATGTCTGTACCCAAGATCTAATTCAAGATCTTCGTACAAGATAATCATATTATCCTGTACCTAAATTTTCAAGATCTACTCACTTTTCTGTACCCAAGATCTTGATCAAGATGTTGCTTACAAGATGTTCAACTAGGGAATTGATTAAAAAAAACAAGCTCGTTTGCTTGAGCCGTAAGGGAAATATTCGAATTGTTTTTTGGTCAGTAAATTTTCGGACACCCTGTTTATATATATAAAGATAAATTTTACTTTGTTTTGGTTCATATTGTTCTTGAGTTTGTTGTATTAAAGTCCGTCGGCGACATAAACGTAAAATGAATTTGACAAATAATGGAGATAATGTATATAAAACTACACGAATTCCACCAAAGATACTCGCTATTGTTGTTATCAAATATATAAGATAAAAACGTTGTTCATAAGAATATGAACAAGTTTTAGGTGCACAAGTTTGGAAATAGGCACCGAAATTAGTTGAATTATCCCAAGATTCAACCATTAAATTATCAAAAAGAACAGCAATTGTTGTTTTTGGATTAAATTTTGAAAAAGAGTTTGAAATATTGAGAGGTGAAACATTTTGTAGAGCATTAGTTAATGAAATCAGAATATTTAAACATGATTGATTATAAAAACATTCTAATGTTGATTGAAATAATGCATTTAATGGTAAACATCCAACTTGAAAACCTGGTATTATAAATAAAGGTAATGTATCAAAAGAAAATACTTCATTTGGAATAATAGATCGGCTTTTATTATAAATACCAGCTGGATAAATACAATCATTTGTTTTATCACATCGACATGTTTCATTTATTAGAAATGATGATTTAATTAATTCAATTTCTTTTGGATAAATTCCAGAAAATGTTTCAAAAATATTAGAATCGGGAACATTTCTTGTATAGAAATTTGTTCTTAATGCAGATTTAAAACGATATTCTGAGATAAGTGATAATATAAAATAATAATATAAACGATAACTGTCAAGTGTATTTTTCTTTAATTGTTCAATTGACATATCTATAGAAGTATTAAGAACATCAGGTGACAATGCATTTGATGATATTATTGTTTTTGTAATAAATTGTCTTAATGCATCATTTACAGCTTGACGTGAGATTTTACAAAGAATTGATAAAACTTGAAATTGTGAAGAAGCGATCAAACGAAAATCAAGTGGATAATAATTTATTGTATTTATATTAAATAAAGAAGAAAACCATTGTTCACTAATAAAATCACTTGAACAAATTTGATGAAATTGAGGATTTAATGATACAAATTGGGAATAAGGAATTGATGTTTGAGAACATTGACACAGAACTTTTGTTGTATAACTATTAAATAAAATTTCGAAATCATTTGAAGATGGTGAATTAACAGTAATAAAACGTGTTTGAGGAATAATTATTGTCAATGATAATATTATTAATAAACTGAGAAAAAGTAAAATAATAAAAACACGTGTAGATAACAGTTGATCAACTAAATTTAAATCCTCATGATCATCATATAAATTCAAATTCTTGATGTAATTTATCAATTTATTTCGACATTGAGAATAAATATTTGTTTGTGTCGTCATTTATCTAAAAAACTATTTTATTAACTAAATTATGTAAACTTGAAAAGAACAACTAATCGTTAGAATTTTTTACCTTTAAAGTCTATTTGTTATATATTTTTCTTTTGTATTCCTGGAATATCTTATTCTTAACATCAACTTTTCTATTTTTTTTGGGTAACCAATAAAAAATGAACGCATTTTAATGTTGTTATAGATATGACTGAAATAATGTAATTCAAAAACCTATGGCTTCAGTTTGTGATATTTTTTCATTATTATAATTTCTAACGTTTGTTTGACTCTTAGTTTTTTTACTCGGTTTGCAGATGTGCTTCCACTGTTTCTAAATAACTATTTTACTTTTTTATTATTCAGAATAATTTGCTTTGTCAAATGTTTTTAAACTTCTAAAAACTTATTTACTTTCTTTTTTGTTTCACTTTTCTTTATATGTAAACAAGTTGTGTCATTTGTTTAAATAGAATTAGATGCATTTGGTTACATACGAATGTGATACACAAATTCTTGACAAAAAAAACTTTGTTATTTATCGAAAATAATTAACATGAGAAATTATTTTTCAGCTAAGGAAAAACTAATTATTATTTAGTTTAGTTTATATCTATTTCTTCGTTGTTCATAAATACGACATCTTAATGAGGGATTTTTGAAGAGTTTCTGAAAACCGCCATAGGAGTATATTGCTTTTTAGTGTACTCAAAAAGTGAGTACACTACTATAATCGGTCTGTATGTCCAGCCGTTTACACGATAACTTTCGAAAGGATAGTCAGATTACGATGAAATTTTCTACATAATTCAGTCTTTAAAATATATCGGTCGAGTTCGAAGAGGAGAAGAATCCGTCAAGAAATGGCTGAGTTATCGAAAAAATTGTGAT